ACGAATTTCAATATTTTCAACATTTCAATTTTTCAAACTTTGACGTTCGCATACTGCAAAACGTTTTTCGCTATTGCGAATTTCCTCTTAATTTTAGTCGGAAATGGTAAAGGCAAAAATAGTCTAATCCATAGATAAAATATAAAATACATACCATTATGGTTGAGTTTGATGACTCTTTTTCAGCTTTTTAACGCGTATCTCTCGGGCCTTCTAGTTTTTTATTATAATCAATATTTATTACATACTTACTTTTCTATGTTTTTAATCTATATTGAAGTAGAGTGGTACAGCGGTACCTTTCAAAATATTGTCCACTAGGTATTCCGCAAATCAAAACTTAAGAAATACGACAATATGTATACTGCATTGCTGTTGTGTGTGTAGGTACCCATCGCTGAAATTGCGCTATTGGGTAGTTCTAACTATTATGGGTAATTAATAATTATAATATATATATAGTCTAGATAACTGCATTATTAAACGGCCTTTAAATCTAATAACAGAACAATAATAATTTAAAAACTCACTGATTGAGGAGATCAGACTGGCCAGGTGGTCCTGTACCTATTCTACGATAAATAACTGTGCAAAATGTATGATACAAAAATATGACAATAATATGTGGCCCTCCATTCACGCCCAGGATACAATAATAGCTTATATTATAATGGCGATTCGCGCCTGCAAGATTCTATTCTTCACAGCGATTTGCTCACGGAATCACGATACAATATTATAACAGTGACAATTAGCGAGCATTATCAGTTATTACAATAGTACAGACTAATATACCATCATTATAAAAAAGATGACGACTTGCGCAGGTAAAAAATAATCATAAAGATTCCGCGTTAAAAATACGGAACTGACTGCTGATATTATGGGCGGCCGTTAATATTTTACATTTTCCAGCCGTGATAAAAACTTAAAAATTATTGATAATAGTAATAATTATTATTATGGGCTGAAATTATATTCTTTTACATATTTTTTTTAAGTCTATGCAGTCAGACAGGGGTTTGAAATCTTTACAAATCATGAAACAGGTGAGTTAATGGCAAAAGTTTTTTTGCATATTTGGGAATATTTCAAGATAAATTAATATTAGAGAATATATTAATTAATTTTTATAGATGTTCGATATTTTTTATTGCAGTTACGTAAATAATATAAATTATATGTCCGATAATAGTGATATTATATGATATTGATATATTATAATATATTAATTTACGATTGGTATACCCTAAATAGTAAATAGTAATGTACTGCAATCGTCTATAGAAGATAAGGGACATTCTAAGATAACGATGCAACTTATAGATAATTTTTCACCGGCTTTGATAATTGATTTGCAATATGCTCTTGTGACTTCAGCTGACGTCGAACGTTCTTTTAGGCTTTAGCACATAATATAAAAATATTTTAAATATTTATTTATTAAAGGATATTTTAATAAAAAAAGCTTATTTTGCTATGATTTTTAAAGAATATTGGAAGAATATTTTCAACTTTTTAAGAGAATATTAGCATCTTAATTTGGCTATTTTCAAAGAATATGATTCCGGTCCCTAATTATTATATACCATAATATGGATATTATACCTACCTGATTTATAATATAAAAATATATTTGTCATATCGATACTATATTCTAACAGAATTCCAAATATAAAATACAGTATAAAAATAAGTATTTACAATCTGTAATATTTATATAAAACAATAAGTAAATTTGATAACAAAGAAGGTATAAACATGAATAGCGTGAGGAGGGAGACCCACCAGTGTTCATACCCTCTAACTTTTGGTATGATATATTTAAAACGCCAATTAAGGTGATACGGTTTACAAAATTATAAGTATATTGTATACGATTAAAATATCAACTCATTATGATTAAAAAATGAAAATATTTAAAAATGTTCAAAACTTCTCCATCGTCTCACGGTATACTACCCACGCGTATAGCTCGACGGTAACCTGGTTGAAATATGAACCACGCCCACCGTTCAGATACATCATTGGCTCCATTTTCTGGTAGTTCAAACGTTCCCCGTTGGTGGTCTGTCAAAATATGTCACAGCCGTCAACTGTTGCCCGTCCGGCGCTGTCGGCCAAATCGGTTGACCTGCCGAACTTTCGTTGACACAGACTCGTGTGTGGTGTTGTGTTCTAGGCGTAGTGTGGCTCTAACTGGCTGTACCAACCACAAATACCTAACAATCGCGCAACAACTAATTTGTCTTCTTCAAACCCGATAGATCCTGAATCGCCGTCAGTTTTTTGGTTTCCCGAGGTAGAGGCATGCCCTGAATAAAACACCATTGCCCGGTTATAAGAAACATATTATTTTATACAATATAGGTAGGTACATGTTTTATAAGTACTTATACATTTTTTGTCAACTCACTATATTGAATAATATTTATATTGTAATAAATAATAATACTTGTAATATTTATTTAGAAAATTTAACTGTTTACAATTCTAAAACATAGGCACATGGTACGAGATACATACATCACTCACGGACTAGCATGACTCACGACTCAGTGCTCACAGCCGAAAAGGCGAAGATGGTCGTATTATTATTATTTTGAAATTTTATAATAATTATTAATTAGTTTTTAAATTAGGTGTAATAATCATAGCCTATAATATGCGTCCGTTTCAGATCAGGTAAAAATCGTTCAACAATACCATTTATTGGATATTATATCTTTATGACTATAAAATCTAAAATAATATTTGAATAATGCAATAATCCAACCAATATCCAAATCGATAAAGATAATATTTGGTCGTAAGTCGTGCTAATAGAAATTCTAAAATCACAATCGATAAAGATTATAGTCTCCCCGGTCTTAAGAGGGCACACTAGTAGACAAAATATAGCACAAACACATGGTTTCGTAATTATTCCAGGAATACTTATTGTATTATAATATTGAAGCGTTTTACAGTATACATAAATATTACAAAAATTGTTTTGGAGAATTTTTCCTAGAATCGTGAGAAGCCCGATTTTCGATATTTTTATTAATTAGTTAAATAACTAATTGATATAAAGATAAAAGAAACGTGTTAATTTACAATGCGATATTGGACGATTGGAATAAGATATCAATAATTCATTACTATAAATACGTTTCTATAAAAAATTCTTCTCTACAATTTTTGTAATTGGTATTTATACTGTAAAACGCTTCAATAAGCCGTATACCTAGAATTACGAAACCATGTTTTTCGGTAAAAAAAACTTTTAATTACACTCGTCATGTAACCTAACCTAACCACTCTGAGCGCGATAACGGTAGTACCGCACCTTAGGTCAAAACAATTTTTCTTGCGCCAGAACATAGTTTATAAATACCCAGATAAGAAAACGATTATTATATAATATTTTGTAACAAATATTATTTAATTTTGTTCGGTTTTATATTTTGTATTCGTATCCGAATTATATACAAATAAGAACTATACTTTTGTTCTTCAAGTAATACGCCCGTTGAAGCGGTTTACAACAAAACTACCTATTATAAAAATTGTATATTAGAATTGTTTTAAAATTCGTGAGAAATTCGATTTTTGATATAGTATTATTATCGTCCAATATCATATGTTAAATTAACACGGTTTTTAACTTTTTATCGATTAATTATTCAACTAATTAATAAAAATATCGAAATAGGGCTTCTTATGATTGTTCAAAAAATTCTTCTCTACAATTTTTGTAATAGGTAGTTTTTCTGTAAACCGCTTCAATAAGCAGTATTAATTGAATTATCGAACAATTTGGGTATCATAAAAAATACTAATTATTACGATATCGGAATAATTAATAATTAGGTAAGAAAAAATCAAAATTAAATCAAATGCTATTTCATTTAGTGTGCATTATAGTATACGTATATTGTATACAAATATGAAACAATAAAATTATTGCAAATTAAACGTCATATTATAATAATAAATTATATTAACGAGCGTCTCGGGAGCAAAATTGCGTGACCAATCAGAATCGTTCACATTTGTTATCACTATTTGTGAAAATCACGTTTGTTATCATAAATAATAAATAATATATATAAAAAAATAGAAGTACATTTTTACAGATAAATAGATAATCATAAAGCATAAGTGACAAGTGTTACTGTGTAAGTCCTGTGTTATAACAAAAGTTTGTTTTATATAATATTGTCAACCTTAAGCAAATAAAACATTCACATAATATTTGTCAACCTTAAGTCTATCTATAATATTTACAGTAAAATTAAAATATGTCATAATTAAATAAATACATTAAAATATTTGTCAAACCTAAAGTCCTAAAATATAAAAATAAATCATAGTAAATTTATTTATTTTCAATGTAAATAAATATAATATATAACACAAATAATACAGTGACGTGATTCATTTTTCATTTAATATTATACTTTACGTTTGTCAATTTGATTTTATATTATGTAAACTAGCTGATCCCGTGTACTTTATTACACGTTAAATGTACCAAATCTATATGACTTAAACTTTTAAATCATCTTTGGTTTTAATTATATTAACTTTGTTTATAAATTATTTCTGATTTCAACCAATATTTATTTTATAATAGCTTTAAAACCCATGGCAACCATTTATAAACAAAAATATCCACCGTAAATCTCAACATTCCTGTTTGAGCATCTCCCCGGAATGGGCCTACCGGGTCCGATTGTGAATCTAAACCATTCAAAGGCCCACTCAACTAAATGTCCCATCACAAGCCCCACATAAAGGTTAGGTAAGCTAAATTTGTCGTTAGAGTTTCTCGAAAGTTGAATTCGTTCTTAATATCGTATATTTTGGTTGGTCAATAAATAAACAAAGTATACAAGACGGTTTACGGCTAAAGACTTTTCCGACGGAAAAACATAGTTGAATACGAAAAGTTCGCCGACCAGATAACGTGCAAATCAAACGTAGCGGCAACCGCTCAAACGCCTCAACAAAACATGCGTCGAACGATTCGCTTCGTCCGTCTCCAGAGTGTGGTGCGTTTTTTAGATTTGGCTGCGGGGTCGTCCACGGCCGTCACCGCCCGGCTTGCGTCGCTGTCGCCGGTATCCGGTTCCAGTTCTGCCTGGCCGAGGGAACGGTTGGCAGTTCCGGCACACTCTCGTCTCGTCTTGTCCGGTCATCTGATGGCGGTGGGACTTCCGGAGCCTGGACAACGTTGCCCGGGATGAGCACAAGGGGACGGTCGACGGACACTGACGGGCCAGCGCGATGTAGTGGCAGCGGGATTTTCCGGTAAATAGGGGCAGGTCGACCAGATCGAGGCCCATCGACTCGGCTTCAGACGGTTTACTGCTGCTCTCTGCGGCTGTTCCGCCGTGGCGGTGTCGTCTGCTTCAGCATATTTTGGTCCTCGGCAAAGTACTGTGACGTTTGCAGGTGGCCGATCGCGGATGGTCCGGTGACGTTTAGCTCGGACTGGTGTCGGTGGCTAATCGAGGATGGTGAGGTGACGTACAGACTCAACTGCAACAATGTCCGTTCAGGAACGTGGAAACTTGCCTCGCGCAATTCGGAAAATACGCTTTGCATCACTTCCGCCTCGGTCGACTGCAAGTTAACGGATTGGTTTTCTGAGCAAATCATCATGATCAGAATATAATATTGTATAGCTATAAGTCAAACACGACAACTGGTATTATATTATAATACAATACGCATGATGTATTAATTTGGTAAGCTGATAAATAAGAAATATTGAATTGACGGACAACAAAACATTATTATAGTACTGTACTATTACAAGCTGTAGCAACAAGACTTTTGTTAATTTTTAATAGACTCGAATAAAATATAATATAAGATACCTACTCTATTCCATATTATTAAATGCAAGAATTTGAAATTTATGGAAATGCAAGAAAATTAGTTATAATATTACGAATTTATATGATACGTTGTAGATGGGAATTATGAATATTTCTTATTCTAGGGCCAATAAAATTTGTAATTGCTAGTTGTGTAAGGAATCCAACTTACCATAGGTATTAAAGTATAATATACTAAAAAATAATTAAAAACTACTGATTTTTTTAAAACAATGAAACATTTTGATGGCATATGCCATATAATATTATATTATAATACTGTGTACCTGTGTACCCATGTAGTACTCATGTACTCATGTATGTATACTAAACAATACTAATATAGTTAGGAGAAAAAAATTCTGGAGTAATACCTTGGGGTCCCCACTATTTTGACCTCATATCGTTAACTTTGTCAGGTAACTGTCAGTAGTTTTTTGTCCACTCTGTTCGTCAAATTCTTATTTTTAATTATTGCTTTAGTTATACTAAATTATACTACAATTGATGCCTGATGGTTTGCTTGGACGGTCGGCGAGAATAGCTATTTCAGTGGCCATGTATACCACACACTTGATAAAAATAAGAAGGTTTATAAGTAAATGTATCATCACCAAATATGTGTAAATTATAATTGCACAAAAAGTATAAATTAGATTTGTACGTTATCAATATAATGTTGTTCGCACGATGAACAAATTTAAATTGTTCGTTTTTATTTGTTAAGACTGGTAAATCGGAAATTTGTGCTATTGCCTCATTAAATAATTTAGGAATGGGAAGCAGCACTTTTCGTCGTTCACGGTACCTATATAGATTTTCTAATACTGTTAATATCAGCGAATTTGAATGTACTACCTGAAGATAGCTACGTACGTATTATTTTATTTGGTTGTAGATTTAAATCCTCTCATGCTTTCCTTTTGCACTTACCTACCTCTAACTTCCAGCAAGTTTAAATCTTCAATAGTAGTCGGTTCATGTTCATGGCCGTCTTTGATATCGATTAGTGTTAATTTTGAACAATTCGTTTTTACATACGCACTACAATTTTTTTTAACGCAACGCCAACTTATATTTCCCGAAACCAAATTTCTACTAAAGTGAAATCTAAAGTTACGAAAAATTAAACATTCACGATTTTTAGTAGTATTTATTATTTAAAATCCATTCATAGAAAAAAAAAACTATTTAAAATTGGAAACTGAAAATGATCCTAAGCAGTTCAAAACAAAAAAAAATATTTTGAAAATTTGATCGTGTATAGAAAATGCAAAAATAAACAACCAGTGAAAATTTTATGTATATACATTCATTTGCTTAATATTTTAGAGTTACACCAAAAACCAAAATCGATTTTTTGGAAATTTTTTCCCTTATTTTTATGTTGTTCTTCCCTGGTGGTTTTGAAAACTATTGGGAATTTTAAAATTTGACCTCCTTGACGCACCAACTAAATTCACTTTCCCATCGAACCAGATACTGCTGAAGAAAATAGAAGCAGTTTCACTGCCCCAAACGGTGATGACAGACACAAAAAAATAAAAAACACACATCATTATAAAATCAAAACATTCATCGTTCAATTCAGAATCTAATATTCATGGTCTAAATTTTTTTTATAAGCATTGAAAGTTTAAATTTTGACGAAATGAAAATTTGAACAAAATTTTGTTGTTAAAAATTTATAAAATGTTAAATTCCTATACCTTAGGGTTGAAAATTTAATAAAAGGTTCCACGAAAGTCCTTCTTTCCTAAAATATAAAAACCTAAAAAATATATAAGCACAGTGCTTTTATAGTAATTCTATGTTCATTTGTGGACAAAATTAGATATTTTAACCAAAAATAACGATTTTAATTAATTAGTTGTAATTTAAAAATACTTTTCTTGAGTACTTGAAACATTTGAAGTTTATCATTTTATTTTATACACACAAAACACTTTCAAATGCATTTTTTTTTGACAAAAATGAATTTAGCCCTACTATAGTAGGTACTAATGCCAAACACTAAAAAAATTTGAGTTGACATCCAGCTTTCAGAAATAATTTATTAGAACTTTTTAATATTAATTTACGACTAAAAGATCGATTATAACAAATTATTGTAATTTATTGTAATATGATTTACACAAACCAATTATTTAAAAACAATTATTAGTACTATAATTTTTTTTCTAATTTCCGTGACATAAGTATATCACATTGTATTGGTTAAGTTATAGAATTTTTTTATATTTTTGATACACTTTTCATTGGAACCATAAACAAAAAGGTGTTCTGCTGTACAGTAGGTTACAAGTGGGTCACTGTATAATGGATAGTATTAAATTTCAATTCAATAATATAATATCATTGTATAAGAAAAACGATTCTGAGGGGAGAGACGGTATGTAAGACATATTATATACTTATTTATCGTATTAAAAAAAAAATTACCTAAAATAGTTAGGTACCTATAATAAATTCCAAATTAATCATATTGCAATATAAATTAGGTACTTATAATGCGTTATACGTCAACAACAAACCCTGATACTATCATAGTCCATACTCCATAGATATATAATAGTGTACATTAGAAGTTTCAAGTACCCACGAATAATATTACACAATCACAATAAAATAACTAAAATAGTAATTCTAGGTTTTTTTTTATGTAATTTTGTCCAAAGTTGAACTTAAAATTACTATAAAAAAAAACTGTGATTATGTATTTTTTAGATTTTTTGGTAACAGAATTAACTACTTACGTGGAATCTTGTTTTAAATTTTCAATCCTTAGATATAAAAGTTGAACATTTATACATTTTTAAATACAAAATAATTATTCTATTTTAAATTTGATAAATTTTGTCAAAATTTGATCTTTAAATGCTTATAAAAAAAATTGTGCCTATGTATTTTAATATTTTTCAACTGATGTTGTAACAATAAATCAGGAGCCTAAAAAAATTGAAAACTGAAAATGTCCAAAAACAGCTCAAAAAGAGTCAAAATTTTTTCAAAATTTTATGGTGTATATAAAATGGTAATATAAACATTCATTGAAATTTTCATGTACCTAAAGTTATTCGTTTTTGTATTACAATAAAATAAGGAAATCGCTACATGAGAAATCGAGTGAATATCCAATATTGTAAACATTTGAATTTCAAAAGCTCATACAAATTTAATTTGACTTTCTTATAGACATTTTTTTTTGGTGAAGGTAGATCACCTTATAAGGAATCTTATATTGAATTTTAAAACCTTAGATTTAAAAAGAAAAATTTTTACGAATTCTTAACTCAAAATAATTTGCTAATTTTCTTGATTTTTCCATATTTTGTCAATTTTTGAACTTTAAATGCTTATAAAAAGAAAACTGTGACTAAGGATTTTTAATATTTTTCAAATGACATTTTAAAAATATAGTGAGAGCCTTGTATTAAATTTTCATGCTTTTTTAACTAACAAATAAAATTTTATTGATATTTTTAGAAAAAAAACTAAAAAAAAATGGAAAATGAAAATGTGCCTAAACAGTTCAAAATAAATCAAAACATCAAAACATTGAAAATGTTATCGTGTATAGAAAATGCTAATATAAACATTCAGTCAAAATTTCATGTACCTACGGTCATTTGTTTAAGAGTTGCACCAAAAACCAAAATCGATTTTTTCGAAAACAGATTTTAATGTAAAAATTACCGATTTTCCTTAATTTTTATTTTATTTTTCACGCCACTTTTGATTTACTTTCCTATCAGAAATGCTACTGTTGAAGAAAATCCAAGCACTTTTACTGTCCTAAAACGTGATGACTAGGGCTGGGTTTTTAATGGCCTAAAAAATTTCAAAAAATGCCCTTAAAAAATTGCAAAAATGACTTAAAAAACTCAAAAATGCACTAAAAAAATGCATTTAAATTATATTTATTATAGGTTAAAAATTGAAAAAAAAAATTACCGAATTCATTCACATATTTCGTTAATCGATTTGATTTTGACGTTTTTACTTTCGGCATATTGAACTTATGAATCACTCGAAAAACACGACACGACGAAACACAACGAATGCTATCGAGACTACGACGACAGACGTACTAATTGGTTACTAATTCAGTAATAGTTATCTAAGCCTAGCTATGATAAAATTGTTATCGACGATAACTTGTACCTATGTATGTATGTATGTATGGTGTAATAAAAATAATAATTCATAATAGGTGTAATATAACGGTGATAACTGATAATTTTCGGGGAAAAGCCTAGCTATGATGAAATATATGAATATATGATACTACATATCATTTATTATTCTTACCGTCAGCTGTTTGCCGAATGTTTTTTGTGAATCGCAACAATTTTCGTTCATTTTATGAAGAAATTGTGAAAAATGCTCTAAAAACCAAGAAAATGCACTAAAAACATAAAAAAAATACTTTAAAATAATCAGTATCACCCAAAACACATTTTATACTTACGAATCAAGCCCTAGTGATGACAGACAAAAAAAAAAAATTAACAAAAAACATATATAATTGTAAAATTAAACATTCATCGTTCCACTCAGAATCTAAAATGTCAGCATTATTTTAATATTTATAATATATTTTAATTGAACAGTTATTGCTATTTACCAAATAAAATATTTTGTCACCACATCATCTGTTTATGAGTACAGTAGAAACTCGATTAATCGTCACTGTCGAGACCAGGCCTATGAGAGTTTACCAAATAGACGGTTAACAGAAAATCATCCATATGCCCATAAACTTACATAATATTTTACAAC